TTAGCCTCTGCAGTCAAAGACAACAGTTCACAACCATAGTCCACAACACAAACATGTTAGCATTCAGCATATTAGCATATTAGCATATTTACCGGTGTTAGCCACACCCAGAATGCACCTGTTGTTACCATAACAACATGGGTGTGTTTGATTTGGATCACCTTGCGTGCCGGCCGGGTGGGACATTAAATCCGTTTTTACCAATGTCTGTATGAAATAGATGTATTACTGTAACAAGTAACAACCCTATTCGACTAGAAATGTAGCACAGTACAATACTTCAGATAAAGAAATACGTAATAATAAGAAGGGTAATATTATATTCACTAATATGTAATACACAGAAAACGACTTTGTCAGAGTAATGAGAGATTGTTTTGGGTTACTTCCACCCCTACAGTGCAGAGGAGCACTAGCGACCCCATGTGGGTGCTATGCTAATTTCACATGAGATCAAATGTTGCATCTGTCAATGGCAACATTCAACTAATTGTTTGAATACTTGCTGCTACAGACAATATTTAAATTGGTGCCAGAAGGAATGGATAACCTGGATAAATACAACATGTTTGTATGTTAACACATTTGGTTAAACTAGTAACATGTAGACCGGTTGCATGTTAAAATACTACAGATAACTACTGAATTCAATAGTTTAGGACATAAATCAGCCAATTGACAGCCATTGGCATGAAATACTATTAATGTAACAACCCAGTGTAGTCTAATTAATTTATGACTACTAATTGCTTTTTGATTTCTAAGTAATACCTTCCTGATGTAACTGTAAATTCAATGTTTAAATAATTTGTTTTGATATTTTGCAGACGAAGAAGCCGATCATCTGTACAGCCAATCTGAACGGCTCTCAGGCAGACTGTGAGCTGGGGAATCCTTTTAAGAGAGGCTCTAAGGTACGACCATGTCTCACATCTTCATCCTGCCACCTAGTTGTTGTACTTCAAATGTGAGAAACTGTTTTTTTTCTTCTTTTGTCACCAGGCTACATTTTACATAATCCTGAACACTGCGGCGATGACTCTTGACACAACAGAGATTGACATCGACCTGCAGCTCCAAACGTAAAGACTGCTGCTACATTTTTTTCCTGTATTTTCATATAAGGTGCCATTAACCTAAATAAAACTAATTGTGTTGTCTGTTTCTTTTTTCCTCCAGGACTAGTGTGCAAGAAAATATTGTCCCCGTCAAAGTGAAGGCTAGAGTAATCATTGAATTTCCACTGTCGGTCACTGGGTAAGTGTGTTAAACCATTTTTTTTGTTACTACAAGTAACTCTCCAGTGACTCCAACAGTATGTGAAACAAAGACTTTGCTTGTTTTCATCAGGGAAGCCAGCCCTAATCAGGTTTCCTTCGGAGGTGTTGTGAAAGGGGAAAGTGCCATGAAGAAGGAGGAAGAGATTGGAAGTTTGATTACTTATAAATTCAGGGTACGTTTTTTTTAAACTGACCTGCCATTATATATCTTCTATTTTAATCACTGCTGTCAAATTCTTCTTAAATGGAATTGTAACATATTGATTTATCCTTCAGATAAACAACTTGTGGAAGTCTTCTGTCAAAGCCTCACTTAACATTCAGTGGCCCAAACTGAACAAAGACGGTAAATGGCTTCTGTACCTGGTGAAGGTCACGGCCTCAGGACCGGAGGACGTCGTGTGCGCCCCAGAGACTGAAATCAACTCTCTCAAACAAATCCAGGTAGGTTTTAAAAAACTTTTATAATGAAATCAACCTTTGCCAGAATTCAGCCATTAAAGGAAACAGTATATTTAACTAGAAGACATGTGTTTACAGGAGACCTTTTCCAGGACAAAACGTGAAATTGGAGAAAGGAAAAAAGTTGATAAAATGTCTTCACTGTCAGACAAGACAAAGGTTTTGGTGAGTAGAATTTATTTAAACAATTTAAACATTATTGATTCTTTAAAATGTTAATAGACATATATCACTTGTTTCAGAATGTTGACAAATTGAGTATGTTTACAGTGTGAGGTTAGCACTAACTTAAGTAAAGGGTTTGTTAAAAGGTTATGATTGATGTAATCCCCCTTCCCCACAGACCTGTGACAGTGGGGTCAGGTGTGTGGTGCTGCGCTGCCCCCTGCAGGGCCTGGACGGAACCACAGTGGAGCTGAGGTCTCGTCTCTGGAACTCAACCTTTATCGAGGTAACAGGTTTGATCAGTTTTTAATAATTCTCCTCTGTGATTTGGTATGACTATTTTACCTGAGAATGTATTTTTTCACTCAGGATTACGCCTCTATACCAAACATGCACATCGTTGTGAGGGCCTCGCTCGTCCTTCAGACTCAGGCTAAGAACATGATCCTGAAAACTCCTCACACTGATGTAAGCAGCTCAACAGATAACAACAAACTGTTTATCTTGGTCCTAGCTCACCTGAACTTGTTCTCTTTTCCTATGTTGGTGTTTCATTGCAGGTTACACTGGCAGTGTCCCCTGAAGTTGCGGTAGCGCAGTTTACTGGAGTTCCCTGGTGGATCATACTGGTGGCTGTGCTGGCAGGCATCTTGATTTTAGCTCTGTTGGTGTTCCTGCTCTGGAAGGTGAGAAACATAGAAGTGACATCCACATGTCATCGAAGTGATACAGGATGTGAATAGGACTATACTGCGCCTGTTACTGATATCAGATCAGAACATGTGTAGTATAACCATAAAATAAATGACAAAGTTGTAAAAAGACAATTTAAAATATGAATGTTATCCCCTTGTTTTGTATTTTTTGCAGGTTATTGGTTAAAAGAATAGTAAGACTTTTGGCTTTGTTGTGTTAATATTATTATGAATACAATTACATATTTATATTCAATCAAAATAAGTATTAATTTAACCATTATTTTTTGGACATTTCAAGACTAAACCCTAATGTGACTTTCAGTACTTGACTGAATGCTTTGTTTGTGTTTATAATAATAGCAAAAACACGTGTATAGTTATCCTATAGGTTACACTATTCTGTAGATGTTCTGCAAATTGGGATGAAATATTTAGTTGTTTTTCAGGAGCCATTTGGGCATCCACACTGGACTCTCCAGATATTATATTAGATAGATAGGTACAGTAGTACTTAAGTCAATGAGACAAGTGTGATGTTAAGAAATGTTATTATTGATTCAGTTTGTATTAACACATCCTCACCCTTGCCCCCCTCAGTGTGGTTTCTTCAAGAGAGCAACTAAAGACGAATACGATGCCGCATATCAAAAGGCAGAGATCCTTGTTCAGCCCTCTGACAAAGACAAACTCTCTGCTGAGGCCTGATTTAAACTCTCTGAACAGGGGTAAACAGCTGTCAGCATGGAGTGTGATCAGAGCAACAACTAATGTACTCACTTTCCAGTCAATCAGCTGACTTCATGCAGAAAGATTCAATCAGACGCATATTGTACTGAGAGATTTACATTACAAAAAAAACTTTTACCCAAAATACGTGAAATATTTCATAGAGATGGGATTAAGGAGTCTGATGTACAATATGTGTCTCGGAATTTTGCCAAAGCTCTATGCATATTCCAACAGGCTTAATCTTTTTTAACAGATGTTCTGCTCTGCAGGTGCTTTTGCTGACATCGCTATTACTGCTTGGCTGTTGAATGTACCGTTCAAAAACTGCAAAGCATGCTTAACATCCTGCACATCTCTCCTCTTGTTGTTCAGTGTGCATGAATATTTCTGACATTTCTTCCAGTTGGAATGATGCACTGTGTTTTTAATCTACCTTTCCAGTGTGGATTCTTCAAACGCTCCAAACAAGGAGGACAGCGTCCCTCGTTACCCACGCAGTGCGGATCAGAAAGGAACGTCCTCCTGAGTATAAAGATGAAAAAGCCAAGCTTGATCCTTTGATAAAAAGCAGTGGGCTGACGACTTGGATCGATGATGAAGTTACTCGTGACTCATTTTCAAGTTGGTAATGATTTTTGCAGACAGGTATAACCTGAAACTTTGTTGGTTGTTTTGTTCATTTTGTATCAGGGATTCTTTTCTGAAGCGTTCCATGTCTTTGATTTTTTTTACACTGTAAAGATGAAAATGTTTTGTAAGTTTCTGTATATATTTGAATACTTCTGCACACTGTATATTTATCTTTGATAAAAAAATAATCATAGGCAGCCACATTTTCCTCAGTCTACACATGTCCTCTCCGGTAAAGGGCAACGTTTACTACTGTTATATGTGCTGTCTTACTGAAAGCCGAAAGTCTATGCAATGAAGGAACCGCTAGCTTAGTGCCAAGTGAATGTAAATGTTTCATGTCTCAGTACCTTCTGCCTTTTCTTGAATGACAATCAGGTACATTACCGTTTCACAATAATTAACAGTGCACATGTGACCACGACCCTTAAACTCCAAGCAGGTGTTCTTTAAAAACTTCTGTTCTTCACTGTAGTGGCATCCACTGTGCTGTAGGTCCATCACTGAAATAACACTTCTTGTTCCATGGGAGGAATCCAAAGGGAAGATGGGGAAAAGCAACTGAAATGTATGTTTGATAGATTAAATGTTTTTTTGTTGAAGTATAATAAAAATGCTTAAAAAACTGATTGCAGCTGTTCTTTTTCATGCCATATAAGTATTATACTTGATACCAGGGCTTTGACTAAGGATCTTTGTATTCTCCATTAATCTGTATTTAGTTTTCAGATTGATCAGTTTAGGTCTACAAGCTTTAGGGAAATAGTAAAAATCACAATGTGAGTCTGCATGCTTGTATTCAAACCCAAGGATATGTGCTTTCATATAAGAAAAACAAATCCTCAAATCCATACGCCCAAGAAGGTGGAAGTGTGTTAACGATAAGTTGATTTCCAAAGCAATTTGGATTTGGAATTTTGTCAATCTAAAGCCAATCAATTGTTTCAGATTCATAAAAGCAGGAAACTAACAATCTGAACATCTCTTGAAAATATGATATCAAATAATTTGATCAAATCCAAATATTACAAGGACAGAAATGTCATTTATGTTTATTTTCCAACCAAGAAAACACCACCTTAATCCAAAGATTATTTAATCTTACTTTTTATAACAACCATTGCATTTACATTGAAACAAATCGTTATTTTGTCCACTCTATATAAAAACTATTGCATTGAAAATAATTATATTTATGCAACCAAACGACTCAAAACAGCTGAGGAATAAAGGAAACAGGAATTGTGATGAATGTTTTGCATCAAAAAGATCTTAACCCCTAAGGAGAGTTCCCTCTTTGGGACAACTGTAGGAGAACTATCATTATATCAATATACATGTTAATTCCAGTTCAGTCAAATGTTAAACGAAAGCTTTTCTCCTGCTCTTTGCGCTGGTTGTCACACGATTTGGGACACTTCCTCCACTCTTCTCTGCAGAAGAACCGAGTTCTGATCGATCCACTGCAGTGAATCCATGTGGGTGTTGAGAATCTTACAGATCTGCTGAAGCTGAGGAGGAGAAAACAGAGAGAAAAACAAGTTAGTTTAATTTGCAACAACAAATGTGTCAGAGAATACACTTGAATGAGTCCTCCTCTTACCGGGTCACTGTGTCTGCCGGGCCACTGGATGTGTTCAGGTGCTCGATGATCTCCTTCAGGTCCTGAGACATCCTCTTCAGCTGAGCGTCCACGTTCTCGGCCAGCTTGTACGTTCTTTCACGTTCCTCGTCTGCGTTCTGCATGTAGATGGTTCCGCTCTGCTCCTTCACAGACTCCTCCAGCGGGCAGAGTAAGTCCTCCAGCTCCTTCTGTTGGGACAGGATGAAATCCAGCTCCTGGTTTAGCCTGCGCTGGTCCAGCTTCATCACCTTCTCCATCTCCTTGTGCAGGGATGTGATCTTCTCCCCGTTCTCCACTAACATGCGGTCCCAGGCGTTCACCTGAGTAGCCTGCTGTAAGAAATGTCTCTCTTGGTCCTCCAGCTCAAGACTCCACTTGTTAATGAGACCCTCCAGCTGGGCATAGGTCATCACTGGAGGAGCTGTGGTTGTAGGGATTGCAGTTGCTGTAGTTGTTGCGGCGAGGCTCATGCCGGTTGAAGGTTTGAGTCCCAGTGAAAAGCCTGTCACAGCACCTGTTGTAGCGGCAAGCAGTGGCGGCAGGGACAGAGGCAGAGGTGATGGTAGCTGCCCCAAGAGGTTTGAGCATGAAAGCCAGAGCTCCACCAGCTGCTGTGGTTGTTGCAGCTGCAGTGCTTGCAGCTAAAGTTGGAGCTGCACCCATAGTGAAGCCTGTAAGGCTCGCTGTTGTAGCGGCGGCGGCAGAAGCAGCAGCCGCAGCAGCAGCAGCCGCAGCCGCAGGTGCTGCAGAGATGGGTGAAGCAAAGAGAGACGGGCCTGTAGCTAGGGTCGGCTGGATGGAGGCAGGAGGAGCCGGGGTGGTAGAGGGTTTAATCCCAAAGGCAAATCCTCCACCCTGGCCGGTTGTGGCTGCAGCAGTAGGGGCTGGCTGAGGCTGCATACCCAGAGTGAGGTTGGATGGAGCAGCTGTACCAAAGCTGAAGCCCCCTCCTGGGGCAGCGATAGGTGCAGCGATAGGGGCAGCAGTGGTGGCTGCTGCGGTCGCCTGGACCTTGTTTGCTCCAAAGCTGAACCCTCCAAAAGAGAGACCCCCTGCTCCTGTAGTTGCTGTTACTGCAGCTGTTGGTGCTGCTGCAAGTTGGGGTTGAGCTGCAGGTTGAGTTTGAGCAGGAGTCCCAAAAGAGAAGCCCCCTGTTGCAGGGGCGGTGGTCTGTGCAGACATAGCTGTGCCCAGGGTGAACCCTGACCCGGCTGGAGGAGCTGCTGCGGAGCCCATACTCATCCCTTGTGCGGAGCCCATACTCATCCCTTGTGCGGCGCCAAAACTCATCCCTTGTGCGGCGCCCATACTCATCCCTTGTGGGGCGCCCATACTCATCCCTTGTGCGGCGCCCATACTCATCCCTTGTGCGGCGCCCATACTCATCCCAGGTGCGGCGCCCATACTCATCCCAGGTGCGGCGCCCATACTCATCCCAGGTGCGGCGCCCATACTCATCCCAGGTGAGGGCGCCCATACTCATCCCTGGTGCTACTGCTGTTTGTTGAGGAGTGGCCATTCCAAATGAGGCAGCGGGGCTCCCGAAAGAAAAGCCTCCGCTGGCTGCTGTGGTCGCTGCTGGGGTGCCAAAGCTAAAGGAGCCGGCCGGGTTGGGGTTGGCGACGGCCTGAGTCGGAGTGCCGAAGGAGAAGCCGCCTCCCGGAGCCGCAGGTGTGGAGCTGGCCATGCCGAAGCCCGGGGCTGCGGCTGCGGGCTTCTGGGTCCCGAAGGAAAAGCCAGTGGAGGCTTGCCCAAAGTTGAATCCACTCATTTTGGTTCGCAGAAGGACAACTTCAACACAAAGTCACGTTATCGTAAACAGATAACTCACAAAATGGTCACTTCCTCGCTGAACTTCTGCGGGTTTTGGCGGGTCACAAATACGAGCTGAACTGACGTAACCCAGGAAACGTTTATTTCCAACGGTTCTTTCAGGCTTCGACGGTTGATAACGTCAATCACGGGTTGTAAACATTGTGTTGAACCAGAAAGCGACCAAAAGCCAACACAATATCCTTCTCAAAAACGTGGCCAACTGCGTCGCACTTTTTTCAAGCAGGCATTTCAGTCGATCACTAAAGGAAATGACGGCAGAAATTAGGACCAAACACTGTTGACTTTAGCCCTGAGTGTTGCCTGCCAGCAAATAAATCCCGCCTCCCTTTAGAAGACAGACAGGTGTAATGGCCAATCACAGCACTCATCAGACCACAGCTGAAATCTGATTGGTACAGTTTATTGCCTGAAGAACAAGTTTCAGGGAAACCAAACCCAATATCTAACCCCCTATTTCCCAAAGAGTACTGATCTAAATCAAGAAATCAACTCTCCACGCAGAAATTATCTGTTGCCAAAAAGTAGGCTAATACTAAAATATTTAGCACAGGCGCCTGCAAAATGATGGCTATCAAATATCAAATCTGATAGAAATGGCTCGCTATCGTTGCCGAATAAAACAGTTGTGTACACCGTCGCAAGTAAAACAAAAAGCAGACTAACAAAAAACGAAACTTAATATAAAAGACAAGATATTGCTTTACAAGGTGAAGAACACAAAGCACATGTTGTATTGTTAACGGCTGCAGTAGTTAACATTGGAATTCACACTTTTTTTTCATGTTTACTTTTTTTTTTAAAGCTTGTACCCAATACTTGTTGTGCATTCAAAAATAAAACATCCCAATCATTGTATATGAGTTTTTGTGTTTCGATAATATTGTCATTACAAATTAAACCTGAACATATCTAATCCATTACGGTTTTTTTAAGCGTGTCTAAACAAAGATACCCACATCTACTATCTTGACGTTGTCATGACTCTCTGGGTTAGCTGGCTCGCACATACCATGTTTACATTTTTGGAAATATGTTTGCAATTCATATTTTAAGTAAAGGGTGATTTCGAAATATTGAACGGTTACTATGGATGCACAAATGTCACCACATCAATCTATAGGAGAACCTTAATTTCACCAGTGTGTTTGTGGGCAGCAGAGTTAGCGTGTAAGCTAACAAAGATTAGCTTTCTAACTGCGTGTCTGAGCTGGGCATGCCCTTGTAAGGATATTTAAACTAAATAAACAGGCTATTTCCTCTAACACCTTCTCAACCACATAGTCCGCTGCCACAGGAGCTGTCACAATGAGGATTTTAAGGTTTCTGAGGAGCAGTGTTAAGGACATTGACTATTACTCCAAATTCTCTCCCTCTCCTCTGTCAATGAAGCAGTTTCTGGATTTTGGTAAGAGTAAACACACTACACACCATATGTATCTGTGCCTATATTTAAAGCAGGGGAATAAACATAGTGTGATTATTTAATTCGATAACATTTTAGAGCCCTGAAAAGGCTTGAAAAACATCAGTTTTCACAAGAAAAATGTGTGTTTAAAAAAACTATCTACCCTGGTTTTCTCATGCACACGTGTGACCCCTTGAATAGCCCACCAAACCAATCAGCAGAAGCAGAACACACACTTGCATCAATGATTACTCATTTAAAGGCTCTCATACAATTATTTTATTATAATATCAAGATTTCTGATGTTCTTGTATTTGTTTTCAGGCTCAGAAAATGCATGTGAGAAAAACCTCCTTCGCCTTCCTCAGACAGGAGTTACCTGTGAGGTTGGCAAACATCATGAAGGAGATCAACCTGTTGCCTGACAACTTACTGCGGACTCCATCAGTGAAGCTGGTGCAGGGCTGGTACGCAGCTTCAGTTCTTTAAAAGTAACCTCTCAAATTACTCTGCAAAAAGGTAATAATGATTTTCTTTGTGTGCAGGTACATGCAGAGTTTCAGGATATTCTTGAGTTCAAAGACAAAAATGCAGATGATGAAAAAGTCACATATGAGTAAGTACATTAAAACAGTTATATTTATGAGGATCCAATCCTGTGTGTTCATTTGTATCACCTTGGAGTAATTGTTTTTGTTTTATTTAGTTTCACAGATGCGGTTATAAAGGTCAGAAATCGGCACAATGATGTAATTCCCACCATGGCTCAGGGAGTTGTGGAGTACAAAGAGGCGTACGGCACGGACCCCGTCGTCAGCCAAAATGTTCAGTATTTTTTTGATCGTTTCTACATGAGCAGGATATCCATCAGGATGTTGCTCAACCAGCACAGTGAGTAGATTCTCTTCATAACAAATGGTGATCTCATGAACAACGTGATGTCTCGATAATATAATAGATGCACTTGTTTGTAGATGTGTTCAAAAGAGGCTGTTGATCCATTAGCAGGAAACTTGAGGCTTGTTTTTCTAAAGTCATCTTGCTTTTGTAGCTGATTGGGGCCCCGTCTCAGGTCAGTTAAATGAAATCCTTGCTTCCCTCACTTGCGTCGTTTCCCTGCGTCTAGTCCCTCCCACCAGGGAAGCATGGAGGGACGCAAGGAAACCACGAGAAGCAGGGGCCCTTTCTCATTTCTCTAACTCCCCTCCTCGACTCCTATCCTCGAGACTTAGTCCCGCCCACAGGAGATGCGAGCCGAGGAGCCGAGGAGGGGAACCGAGGAGAGAGGAGGGGAAGCAGCAGGCGGTTAGAGAAATGAGAACTCCTCTCCTCTGAGCGGTCATTTTAAAGAGACGTCCATTAATGATGACAGGAGGCACAGCAGCCCTCTGTCTGATGGACAGATGTGTTCATGACCACTTATATATTTACTTTGATTCATTCACAGTGCGGTATAATGAGACAATAACAGGCTACAGATGCGGACACACACACACACACACACAATTTCAGAATCAAACAGAGCACTCTCATAATAACGTAACACTATCAGAGACTGGATATGAGCTCATTTTCAATGAGATGTTGATTCAAGTGAAATGAAACGAGGACTTGTCTCAAAGGACGATTAACCTGCCCAGACTTGGAGATTGTTGTTATTGCCTGACAAAATGATCATGACATGATCTCAGCCAATATTTACAAAATAACATCTAGGGATTTGATCATTAAGATATCATCAAATGTATGTATCAGAAGTCAGAAACAACATTTAGAGTTTGCTTTTCTTTGTTATCTGAAGATTAGGCAGTGAGGAGGAGCGAGAATAATTTATATTGTTGGTGTCACATCTATAGTGAGCCAAAAAGGTTTCACATTTTAAGTTTGTTTTGTGTCATTAAAAGTCTATTGAAAAAAATTAATCAATTTACAAAACCAAAAAAAACATTTGATAGATTTTGGATTAAAAGATGTTTGATGAATTAGTTTAGAGAGAAGTAAACGTCAAAACATTAATATTTTGGATGCACTGTGTATGGATTTAATTAATAATTTCTATAGTGTAGTGCATGGTCTGATTTATTGTGTCTTATTCCAGCTCTCCTCTTCGGGGGGAAGGTGAAGGTGAACCCAGCTCATCCCAAACACATCGGCAGTATTGATCCTAACTGTCGTGTCAGCGCGGTTATCAAAGGTGAGAACTCAAACCCTTTATGAGGAACATGCAGTGACAGGTGCTCAGATACGTGTCACTGTCAGTGTCACTCAAAAGATATTTGTTGTTCTTCCCTCAAACAAACCTCTTCCTTATAGATGCGTATGAAAATGCCCGAAACCTCTGTGACCGGTACTACATGAACTCTCCTGAGCTGGTGCTGGAGGAATTCAAAGGTAATTCATGTTGGTCACACATGTTCAGTTACACAGACACTTTTAATTATGTACATTAAAGGCAAATACATTTATTTTTATATCAAATGATTATCTTAAAGTTCAGATGCTTTAAAGTGGGATTCCGTGAGATTCTTTCCCATAGTCAGTATTGTAAAAAAAAAAAAACTAATACAGTAATATTAAACTACTGTAGGCAATGGACTGACTATGGAAAAGTACTAGACTATAGTCAGAAATATGAACTATCCCTAGCAATTCAGGTTGCATTATGAATGAATACATATGAATGGCTTGATTCAGTATCTGATGAAATGTTGTCTTATCTTTGGTTATTTGAACAGCTTCACCCATCACGGTGGTCTACGTCCCATCTCACTTGTATCATATGGTGTTTGAACTTTTAAGGTAGGATTTGTTTTATCAACCTCATAGTTGGACAGCCTTTCTCTTCATGCTCAACTGTTGAGGGTGCTTTCATTGTTGCAGAACGCCATGCGTGCCACCATGGAGTTGTACGGCGATGCCATGGAGTATCCTCCCATCCATGCACAGGTGGCTCTGGGGACTGAAGATCTGACAGTCAAGGTACATCTGTGCTGCATCCATTCATCTTTACTAACCAGTATAAACTCCTGGAGAAACTGAAAATGGAGTTATTCTATGAAGATACTGTTCAATAATTATGTTTTTCTTCAGGTGAGCGATCGTGGAGGAGGCGTGCCGCTGCGCAAAATTGACCGGTTGTTCACCTACACGTACTCCACAGCTCCTCGACCCAGCATCGACGGGGCCCGCGCCGCTCCGCTGGTCAGTACTACGAGCATCGTTTTCTTATTGTGGCCATTTTAAAGTTTGTGAAAAGCACACTGCAATACTCTGAGATTGACTGAGATGTTTTAGTTACTTAAAATAGAGTGCAAATTGAAATAAAAAAAAATGGTGCTTTTGTTTTCAGCTTCACGTTTAATAACATAAATATTATCCTTTGAATTTAGCAAGCCATATGTTGCATTTGAGCAGAATACTGAAAGCAGCAGATAGGGAGAACTGAGGACTCTTTGATATTTAACAAGAGCACATTCATCAAACATTGCTTATCTTCCTCATATTTTGCCGCTTACACAGAAATCTGACTGTTCCAGTGCCAAAGAATCACTACCAACTGCTCTGATGTTTTAGATTGTTTGGCTTGAGTCTTGTTTTTTTGAAAGGGGTGGAAGAATAATTCTTTTTTTCCTCCAGGCTGGTTACGGGTACGGCCTGCCGATCTCTCGTCTGTACGCCCGGTACTTCCAGGGCGACCTGAAGCTGTACTCTCTGGAGGGGTATGGAACCGACGCTGTGATCTACATCCGGGTAACAGAGTTTAAAGTGTGTTTGTGTGTTTCTTCAGACAGTATTTACTTTGTATTTGAACTCTCCTTTCTAAATTCCCTTGTTAGGGCGCTCTCCACAGAGTCCATTGAGAGGCTCCCTGTGTACAACAAGTCGGCATGGAAACACTACAAGATTATCCAAGAGGCGGACGACTGGTGCGTCCCCAGCAAGGAGCCCAAGGACATGACCACGTTTCGCAGCTTCTAGATCCAAATGGCTACCGGAGGTGCTTGGTAACGAATGGTTTGGTGTGTGAGATGGCAATACATCAGTTTAGATTTCGTTGTATGGAAAGAATAAGAAAACAGGACAAAGATTTCGTGCCATATTCTTCGTAGTGGGCATTAGTTTTGTAATGATGAAAATGTTGGAGTCGAGAAGCCTCAATTAAATAAAACAGTTTCCTTTGTTATTCCTTATGGGACCTTTAATGGCAGGGACTGGGAGTCAACTGGACCAGGTTTCTGTAAAACCACAGCTTGCTGTGAAAGTATGGTTTAAAAAACGTCAACAACATATGGGCAATATAAAATATCATTCTCATTAAGAATGTTTTTAAACCGAGGACAGTAGAGACTAAGTTATCACTGTTTCCGTCAAACGTATTTTGGCATTTCTGTCCAAAGATTGCCGTTATTAACCAACCTATGATTAACAATATATCTGTGACTAACTTAAAACAAGCCTATGAAATCCCTGAAACGCTCTGCATGGTGTGAGCTGTGTCTGTGGAGCTGTGTTTTGCTGAAAGCTAAACTTCAACTGTTACGGTCCGTCTGTGTGCATCTCTTATGCTCTGCGTGAAGGTGAAAGCTTGTAAGGAAAGGACAACTTGTTACACACTTTAAACGCTGCTTGTTTTTACGTCTGTTGGAGGATGCTGCTGATAAGTCTTATTGGTTAAAATGGTTTTTATTTAGGGTATTTATTCTTTAGTCGAGGACATCTTAAAACATGTTTGATTTGCCATCTGTGACGGGTTCTTAATGCAACAAAAGTCAACTGAATAATTGGAATTCAGAAAAGCTGTCGGGAAGTTGGCTGAGAGGTTTTATTGGGTTAGGAACACTTTAGTTTACTTTTAAAATTCTCAGTTTGCAAATAAGGTATTGCCACACTTGGAAAGAGGCTGCTGGTTTTTTCTCACAAAAGGTATCAATGCAGTATGAGAGCTAACTATTTCTGGGTTGCTGTGGTGTATTATAAAGACTCATTCTGTCATTTTCCTTGTTCTGTATGGATCATGTTCAGTGAAAAATAAACATTTCAAACCAACAGATGGTTATTTGTGTCAAACATCTCCTGAGTGAATTATAGATGGATGGGACAGATTCCAAAAGTATTCGTGACATATTTTATGAGTACATAAAACAAAACAAACTACAGCCTTAAGTAGGTTTAAACGAATAACATCACGTTTTTAAAAGCGCCGTATAGGAATGTATTATTTCTCTGGTGTCTTTTTATCAATCAATATACAAGAAAGTACTCTCACACAGCCAAATTAAATAGAGCTATGAGACTCGTACAAAAACAAGGATACCACATAAAGTGAAAATTAGTTTATTGATGCTGTATGTACCAAGTATTTCTCTGATTTAGAAGATGTGGAAAACACGATTTTCTTGTAGTCCAACATGTCGTATTGCATACAGAACATGGAGTCATGCACGAGAAGAAGAAAAGAAGCAGTTCTGGACTCACAAAAGTCCTTGTCGTAGACACACCTGCCGCCTGATGGAGCGGCGCTGTGTGTGTGTGTGTGTAGCAGACCTGCATGCTGTGTGTGTTTACTCAGAGCACCGTGGTACCATCCTCCACACACAGGGGACAGAAGCAGAACTCCCCTCGGCCACATCTGATCTGTTTGCTGCTTTTCATTCAGCAAAAACCACAGCTATTCTACTTAGTAGAAAAATGTACAATGGTATGGTAAAGTAAAAAAAAAGATATGCAGTTAATAAGCACATGTATAAAACTTTTTTATACATTTAAAACCTTGTCGCTCATTGAAGCTTAAAAGACAAATATAGTGCTTTTATCTGTACTGTACAATATCCGTTCCTGCAGCAGAGTACATGGAAACAGGTGAGTTATACTAGCAAAAATATAAAATGCTGAAAAAGCAGTATACATTTGACTTCCATTGGTAAATGTGTGCGTGATCTCAACAACTACATTAGAGCCTCTAGCTTTTTAGTGGTAACAAATGTTAGGATCGTCTTTTGGTCACATACCCAGGTTTTTTGACATTCCCCATCTTTCAGTCAGAATGGTTTGTGTGTGTTATGGGGGAGGAACAGGAAGAGTGACGTGTCTCTCAGTGGGACAGGTTACACTCCTGCAGGTGTTCTGTTGGAGGAACATCACGGCACCAGGAGAATAAAGAGGGCTGCTCAGGGTAGAGAGGAACTTTATGAGCTGCATCATTCAGAGAACAGATCTGCTGGCTCAGCAGAAAGAGTCCGGACTGACTGGAAGTTTCCCGCTGCGCCGCACCTCCTTCTCTTTCTTCTCTTTCTGTTTCTCCATCTTCTCCTGGGCCTTGCGCATGTCCTTCAGCTTCTTCTTCATATTCGAACGGTCGCTCTGACTCGACACACCGAGTGCCTGTTGGACAAAGGGCGCAGATTTTAAAATAATGCTACCATGTTCTGTCCACAGCGTGGCAGTCAAAGGCTGAAAAGGCTTTTGTAATCAAAGAGGCATTTTATAATAATGGAATATAATTAAAAACACGATTAAATACCATCATCTTTTAACTGTTATTATACAGGTAGTTCAGAGGCCATTCATCTGATATTGCTGTGTTTTTACCTTCAACCTGTCACTGTCCAGGTTCAGGAGCTGCTGGCCGTCCACGCCCTTCGCTGTGAACTCAGGAGTGTATTGGTCCATATTCATGCCCATCAGCCAGTGACAGACCTGCTGATTGGTCCATTCAGAGACGGGCCGGTTCTGCCACTGATACTCTTTCCCTGTAGTTATTGGTTCATCATCCAGAGTCTGCAGACACACAGACAATACCGGCATATATTAGAAACCTGAAAACACTCTCGCTTCACAGCGTCACCATTTTATCCTTTTTGTTCAAATACATAATTGTGGACATTTCTGTGCAGGGTGCAGAAAGTCATATGTTGCTGTACTCTAAAGACACAAGTATTGTTCAGTGTTGAGTATTCACAGGGAACAAAAACATTATAAAGACAAACATATATAGTTGATGTCGTCTAACAATGCTGTTGGAAAAGATTTCATCCAATGTATTATTTTCATAGGTGGAAAAAAAGTCAAGTTAATGGGGGTGCAGCTCGGTTCTGTATTTCTGTTTAAAAAAAAGAAGGTAAAGCCAACTTGAGCATTTGCATAACAACAAGAAGAACATGTAGCGCACGTTCTGTTGAACAAAGCTGTGTGCATTGTTCAAACTTCCAAAGCAGCACCCAGAAAACATGCGAAAATACCCAAAACATTCTCAGATGCAGGGCTACATGTGTGTGTGTGTGCATACTGCATGTTCCACTGAGAGAGACACTGGAACGTTTAATATGAGATCCTGCTGCTGCTGCTGAAGCACCACCGAGCAGGCAGCAGAGCAGGCAGCACGGTTCTGTGGTGGGCTACAGCTTGTAAAGGACATGAAGCACTGGTTGACAGTTTAACAGAGGAAACAAAATAGTACAAAAACCAATACATCACATCTGCCTTAATAAAAGCTGAGTCAGAGACTTGTTTAACACACACATGCAGCTCTCTTCTATCCCCTCTGCCTTCACAAGTTCATCGCAGCTCTGAAAGGGGGGGGGCTCAAAGAGCATGCTTGAGAATGTCCCCTTTCAGCCGCATCAAGGCGTCCCACACGGCTTTTGTGAATGCGCAACAAGGAGAGCACTCACCTCGCTGGAAGAGAAGATTAAAGTGTGTGAGCGCCCAGACAGATTGGGTTCAGCGACTAACCCAGAGAGCTCTGTACTGGGACTGGCAGCGCTAGAATCATCTATGACTGAAAAACTCTGGAACAAGTGGAAACAAGGAACCGTTTACTAAAGCAACACATCAGCAAACAACAGTTCTTCTTCACTAGGAGAAGCACACATTTACAACACTACAGGTGTGAGGAGCGAGTGCAGTTTTCATAAGGACTACAATGATTATAATGAATGATTCAAACTGGGATTAAGGCAAGTGGTTAAGCAGAGAGTGACTGTGATCTCCAAGACACTATGTAGCACAACATTCAAGGTGATACAAAAAAGAAATCCACCACCAAAACTACACAACCTCTAAACTACAACTAATTATACAAAAAGTTAGGTATGGGGTTGTGTTTTTTCATTCACTTGAGCAGAAGCTAAGGGTTTAACTATGTGATCATGAGAGGTATTATATTCTAACTGTGGCTTGTTTTTCAGACACAATGTGTGTTCCATTTGGAATCATGGAATATGATCTAGACCAGCTGTTGCAGCAGCTATCTGCAAGTTCATATGCAGTTTACTTTGAATGCAGCGTAATAATCACACAGGTTATCAATCAGGTTGCGTAATGAAAGTTAGTGAGAACAGTTAGGTGTTGATGTTACAACAAACCTCGGATTAAACTTGCGATTAGCTGGAGCAACGAGCCCAAACAACTAGTTTTGGCTTCATTATTTCCTCTTATAGATTATTATTATTATTATTATTCAAGCCACAATGCTTTTAAAAAGTGGATATATGAAACATGTGATCACTTTAGTTTTCTAATAACAAAACCACATACCCAGTTCCAAAGAAACAGTGAATGATTTAAAGGATTTGTTGTGGGGAGAACTTGCATATCTCAAAACTCTACTTGTTAGTAATCTCTACAGAGGCATCTCAAATCAAAAGGTAAAACAAGGATCTGTATACTGTACCAAATCTAATGAGCGACTGAATAAAGAGGACCAGGAGAGATTTGTCTGTTTAGAGAAAACACGGTTCAGTGAGGTCAACGTCCAGGCAGCAAATCACTGACACAAAGTACCATATTTCAAAGAGTCCCAAACCCAAACTTTTCTCTAGGTTACTATTTTCTTATTGGTTGAACCCGTGTCTTGAACTAATTAAACAGCATCGTAAGAACGCCAGAGCGACCGCAGCCTGTGTGGCAGAGAGCCACGAGTGTGTTTGTGGTGTCACTATTTGCAAACTCATTGAAAAGCCACCAAATGCTTCAGTGCTAGCGCTCTGGCTAACAGATGGGTCCAGTTATTGCTAATGTAGCTTAATTAGAAGAACTAGTCAATGACGGCACACGTCTGGATCCTGCCTCCTGTTACGTTTATACTACTTTTACTCTTTTAATGAAGATAGAATATATTATGATAAAGGCGGAGACAAGGAGATCAAGTTTGTGACCCCTATTGATATTATATGTCAATATCTACGACGTTACTAGTAAACGTTCTGCTCTACTTCCTGTAATAGTCACATACCTTGTTCTTGCGGTCCTGGCTCTGCTCGCTGCTGGTCTCGGTGGCAGCGTACGGCAGACTGCTGCTGGAGGACGAGGGCTCTCTGTCTCTGTCTTTGTCTCCAAACCAGGAGAAGGGCATGCAGGTGGGGATGGACGTCATGGAGTCTGCAGGAGAAAGGTTTCCTCCAGACTCCTCCAGGATCTCTGCTGATCCCCTGGGCATCGGAGAAAGAGGAATATACAGTTATTCACACGTGGGACTTAAAACACAATGACTAAGTCTAATATAGGAGGAAAAAACGATTTAAGATTTGGCAGCAAGAAGGTAGGAATCTGGTTTTGTGTAGTTCAATATTTACACGGATAGTTACATGGATTCAAGTCATACTAACTCAATTCAGGCATTAACTGTACTGGTTACCATGAATAATTCATAAAGAAATATATATATATGTCGCCAAACATTTACTCAAATGATATTTCTCACCTTTACATTTAATTATGATTTAACATTTACGTACCTGCTGTCCAAAGACACTCTCATCGCCTCCTTGTCGTGTTTTTTCCCTTTGCCTCCCGACTTCCGGAGGCCTCTGTTGATGAGCATCAACATGTTTAGTTAGTGCTGAAAAGATGCTGATCTGGAGACAAATGACAGTGATCACCATGGAGACTCACCCAAAGTCTGGAAATCTCCTTTTAGGTTTCCCTGCTGAGGAGACCTCATTTAGATCCTCTGAAATGAAACAAAAGGGGTTAGAGTGAAAATGCAACAGGAAGCGCTGCAGCCGTCACATTTTGGTGTCGCATACCTTTGGAGTCTTTGTTTTTCCCTTTCGGTTCCCTTTTCTTAACATTCCGCATTAATCCAGAGGGGGAGTGCGGGGACGAGATGTCTTTTGGAGAACACAAAGAAGGACTCCCGCTGCTCTCAGCACTCTCTCCCTGTGAGAGCTCAGCCTTACTCCTGGAGCCATCTCTTCTTTCTCCTGGATCCCCTTTCTGTCCATTCCCAGGATAGCAGACAGGCACGGGGAGGGACAGGCTCTCCTGGATGGACCTCCTCCTCCTGGGGGACTCCTGCTCCTCCTGATCCTCATCTTCTTCAGAGTCCTGTTGGGACAAAGCTTATTATTTACAAGGACAATGCAAGGAAGAGGAGATCAAATGTTATTATACAACTGAACGCTCTGATCTTCAGTTCTGACCTGCTCAGTGATGAGCGTGTGTTTTTGTTTTGCAAAACACTCAAGTATGTTCCCTATTGTATTTGAGAACAGCTGGTAGTATCTTAAGGCCATTTGCTTGCCTCAACAGAGAGTTGATCTAATTGACCAATTAGCCACAGAATAATTAGCAGTACAATTGTCAGCCAGCATCACTGAATAAAATCCCTACTGTTTCACTGTTATAGGGCAGCTCATATTCACCAAGTTAAGTTTCTTTAGCCTGTAAGATTGAGCTTGACATGCCTTGATGGGGTTCCAGGCATCGTACCTTGACCTAAGGACTGTTTACTCCAAATGCTCAAACAACATAGCAATCACTAACTACCAGCTGTTCCTGTCTGACCTGAGCGTGACCTGAAGCCCCTGCCAGGCTCTCCTTCAGTTTGCTGCGAGACGGCAGCTGACGTTTGGCCTTCTGAGCCAGCAGGCCCTTAGCTCTGTGAGCACTGGTGTCCAAGCGCTCAGTCTCAGGAACACACTCGCTCCAGTCTTGTTCTACGGGAGAGAACATAAACAATAAGTCACAACACAATGTGCACACTTTTAATCATTTACCAGGGTCACTGGAGCTCAATATGGATGCTTGTTAATCATTTACAGATCACGCAATATAAGTGTGACATGTGTACTTCCGTTTAAGTTTTATCCTAGTAACTCTGTGTACCTGGTATTGAGTCAACAGACTGTGTGCTGGTGACGGGGTCTGGGCCGATCAATCTCTCGTCTGCTCCTGACCCCGGACCACTGTGACGCTCCACGCCTGCGCCGGACTCCAGGAGAGCTATCTGTGGACAAAACAACACTCAATGCTCATTTTACTGTCTCCCGCAACACTGTTGTGGTGCATACGCTTTTTAATCTTACCCTGTTCTGTAAGCTCCCCAGCTGATCCTTGTAGCACTTGTCTTTTTCATCTAGAACTTTTTTCAGCTCCTCCTCTTTCTTCACAAAGTCTATCTCTCTGGGGAGGAAACAAGGAAATGCTGATTAGTCCTAAATCTGTAAACACAGTCTAATCTATATGTTTATCTTTGAACATTTCTATTCCAGGATGTATTATAGTGATGAGATGACTCAGGTGAATGACTGAAGTTATGGAAGTCAGGATGAACTCACTTCTGCTGGTAGTCCTTGAGCAGTTTCTTGGCCTTGTTGTACTTCTTGTCCAGAGTCTCCTGCTGGGCCTGGGTCTCAGCTAATTGTTCATTTACGACTTTACAAAGACTCTGGGCTTCCAGCCAGTAAGTCTCAAACTTCTGGGTGTTGTTGTTGCTTTCCTCCATCTTTAGCTCCAGTGCAGACTCCCTGGCTTCCCACAAGGATCTGTCCTCCCCAGATAACCTTAGCTGTTCAGAGATGGGGGCGTGTTACTAAACTGAATGAACAGTGGGCCACAGTTTGACGTTTAGTATGAATTAGTCATTTAAAAGAACAAGGTCTTGGATTTTGTCTTGACTTAACAACCTACTGTAAATACAGGGTATACGCAGGAATCCTGAAGTCAGATTTAATACCTTTTAAGACCTTTTTAAGACCCTTTCCATACATTTTAAGACCTCATCGCCACTTTGAGTTTTAACCGGTTACATTGACGCAACATTTACTATATACAGTATTGATTGTCCTTCCTCCTTATCTTCCAACCATGTGGACGCAAACTTGCATTTCCCCATAACGATGTTGTTTAACAACCGGCGTAAACGGACCTTCGCGCGCTATCAAGCAGTGAGCGTGCGATGTCCTGTTCAGATGACGTCAAATCCAACGGGATGCCAGAAATAAACTACATAGAATCACACTACACACCTACGCAATGATTACATTCAGGCAGATTGTAGAATACAACCTCTTTGGACCATTTATATACTTATTGAAAACAAGCTACAAAATGTAATACCTTGGAAAATGCCCTTTAATACTTTTTAATAGCCTTAATTTTCGCTAAATTGATTTGTCAACTTTTAATACTTTTTAAGACCCCGCAGACACCCTGTACATAGAACACTTGTAAAGTCAGACAATAGGAAAAAGGAAAAGTTGATTTAATCTTCAACATACCTTCTCCTTTAGTTGATTTATTTCGGCTGCAACAATGCCGTGTTTGAGCTGCAGCTAGGAAACAAAAAAAAATCTGGTTACTTCCTATATTGCATGTTATTTATAATATTACGTTATTTAAACCGAATGAGACATTTGGATGTATAATTGAAATCCCATTAGACTGATAGTCATGGAGTGGGTGATACCTCTTTGAACTTGAAGACCATCTGAGAGCTGTCCATGTTGCTTGGCAGAAACAGAGCCTCTGAATCAGGCAGCTCATACAGCTCTGCGTTCTCTGTTGGGGAGAAACTGGAGCACAAAATCCTCTCCTCCACTCCGTCCTCCTCCTCCTCATAGGGCTCCTCCTGAAACATGACATCACATTTAGCAAACAATGACACACCCTTTATGCTCAGGAAGGTGCTCAGGAAGGTGCTCAGCATGTGTCAACACCACTCCCAGTGGCACATTTCATCACAGTCTGAAGGGAACATTGAAATCAATAGATCAAAACCAAACATTGGTGGGCTGCTTCACAGGGAGGCACTGCAGGAGTTTGGCTATAATAAAGTGGATAACAAGACTATCACCAAAACTTTACTCAATGTGTTTACCTAAGGAAAAACACTGAAAAAGGTCTACTTCCTCCCAAAAATGAAACTGTACATTTCTGTTAAGTATTTACATTATTGCAAAAACAGGTGCTTGTAGCAGCTTGAACTTCAGAAAGCACATATTTCACAACTCTGGCAGACAGGCGGCGATGGACTGAACACCTTCCAACGCAGCATAATGGTGACACATGGCCTGCTCGCAGCCAGCTGCTCATTTCCTGGTTGAGCTAAGAGGGATTTGACTGGGCGTGGCAAAGGGGGCTAAATCAGGGTTCATGTCCTAACAGAACAATATTAATTATGACAGTCCGAAATGTAAAATAGCATCCACATCAACATCTATGTCATTAATACAACTGGGACTCTTAGATATATCTAACTGGGCACTTAAATCATACACAAATACATGTATGACTTTCTGACATATATGGACGCTTCACAACAGCCAATTAAACCTACATTTAAAAAGGGAACTTCTTAATCCTCACAAGTCAGAAACGTTTCCATGTCTCATGACCAGTGTTTCTGCCAGACCAGGGCTCTCGGGCGGCTCAATTTTGAATCGAGCCGTCCCCTATAGATACTATCTCTATATCCCCCCTCCACCCCGAGAGCGGGGGGGAAGGGGTGGCTCTCGGGGCGGCTCAATTTTGAATTGAGCCATCCCCTATAGATACTATCTCTTTACGTTAGTGATGGGAACTCCGGCTCTTTTTAGTGAGTCATTTTACCACAGTTTACCACGGAGCCGCTCGCAATTCACGCGCGTGCTCCACTAGAACCCCCCCGCTCATCGCGTCCAAATCATGCACGTTCCGTGTTGTCCTGTGGCAGGCACCGCCGATGTCGGGGAAACGATCTTCAATACTCCGAAAAGAATCCCACCAGACTCCTTTGCCCCTCCAACAGAGGGATGTCCTTGTCCTTTTTCCCTTTCGTCATTTCAAGCGATAAAAACTCTCGATCTTCTCTCGAATTATTATTATTTTTGGACGCCCTCAGCTCGAGTTCAGAGCGTTCCGAGCTGAATAATGGCGTCAAATGACGGCAAGACGCCCCCCTGGCGGAAACGCTGCTCATGACTCACTTCCTCTGTAGAGTGTTCATACGGGTCGTCCAGGTGATGTTGCTCCTGCTCCTGGTGCTTCTCCTGCTCTAGTGTCTCACTTATAAGGCGGGCTACCTCGCTTTGCGCTCCTGGCTTCTCCCGTCCAATCAGGAACCTGTTATTTTAGAGAACAATGTGTTAGTGCCCCATATAAAGAAAACGTCTGTCTGTGCAGTCTAACTTGCTACTGGGAAATGCAAATGACGAGACGCAGTTCAGCCCTGTCCTTATCATGTGTGGGCGTTTCATTCTAAATCATTTCCATGCCACAATATGTGTGTTGCCTATTTCACATAAATTAAAAAAACATGAATAATTCTAGACTGTCAGGAGATTAAACAACTCAACTGTTAAACCCCTTTTAATTGTGTTAACAGTGGCTCAGTCTTGTCATCCAGGGTTCATACACTTTTTCACCAATGATTTTCAATGACTTTTCCATGACCTTTACCTATTTTCTCTTTCTCAGCGGTACCACTGAAAATGGTTTATTTTAACATGGAACAGGAAAATAAGGTCTGCATATGAAACATGTTGTGCCTATCTAAAACAAATCAAATAGTAGGCTTACTAGCTTCTACAGGCTAAAACAACTAAAATCTCTCACCAGCAAAATACCTCGTCAGTTAAATGCGATACAGTATTTATTATCATTATAGTATTACTATTTCGGCGATTAGATAAAATATAAATTATATTTGATGCAACTTTAGTTACATTTCCATGACTTTTCCAAAACTTTGGGGAAAATATTGTTTTCCATAACTTTTCCAGGGCCTGGAATTAGCATTTTGAATTTCCATGACTTTTCCAGGTTTTTTAATGACCGAAGAGACCCTGGTCATCATTAAGATCTTTTGAATAAGGTTGATTTGAAGGCGCGAGGACACGGGCTTTGAGCTGACCTCACTGTGCCTTTGGTGTTCTTCAGGACAGTTGCAGCAAACAGTTGTGTGACGCCCACCAGACTGGTCCCATCCACCTCCACTATCTGGTCATTCACCTGTATGCTGGAGACACAGAAGATAGTTATTATGAGGAGGGATTCCACATGGGGTAATAGTAGTAGATAGTTCAAAACAACCATACAGTACAGTAGTCTCATTGAAGCTGGTAATACAACACATTCAGAATGCCTGGGAAACAGAAGTACACACTTTTTCCCTCATGTTTTTGTGCAGTTATAAATAAATCTGGTTGTTTGAGTCTTGTTCATTACAGGGCCCTGGGGGAATGTGCATTTCCTAGATGGCGAAACATTAAAAACTGTTGTGTTGATGCAGTGTGTGGACCATGTTTCCGGTTGTATGGAAAACATTACCAGTGATTTTAAACTTACCGTCCATCATGTTCAGCGGCTCCGTTCTCTGTTATGGTTTTCACAAAAATGCCCAGCTTCTCCAGACCCTGGTCAGCTCCTACTCCCATTCCTATGATACTGATGCCAAGTCCATTGTCTCCTGAAGGCAAACAAATGACAAAGATTTTATAGGGCTGGTATAAAGAGTGGAATAAAAATGTTTATGATCTTGACATTTAAATATTTAATAAAGAAAATGTATAAAGATTAACGGTTACTGTGTAGACCAGGGGTATTCAACTAAAATTCAAAGAGGTCCAGTTAGAGAAAATCTCCTCATGCAAAGGTCCGGAACATCAAAATGTCTAAGTTGCTTTATGAATTAGTGTGATATATATATTGAAGTAGCCTGTAGCTTTATCAACGTCTGCATGTAATCAACAACTGACTGTACAATTCATAAACAACAATATTTATTGTCAATTAACATTGAACTATACAGATATACAGTAAAATACTGTGGATAATGTGTAATGTTCCTCTCGGGCTGCATTTAAAAATAAAATAGAGAAAATAAATCAAATAGCTTTTGAAAATGTGTGCATCTTAAAAGTGCTTAATTTTAGATAAATAAAATAATATGTCTCATAGTGGCATTTTGGCACTTTTAATGAGCGCCACGGTCTCTGAACAGATGAGACACACTGGTTCTGTGCTCCCAGTGGGCAGGATGAACATGAATGAGTCCACTCAGGGTTAAAAGCTGTGTTCTCACTGTCCACTTTCCTCTTCTTGGAGAGCGCCATGTGTAATTATTTGTCTCTCCCTGTCTGCCGCTAACACGCCTGTTCACTCTCCTCTCCATCTTCTCTCCCTGTATCGCTAATTATTCTCTTCACTCACTTTCCTCTCCGCTTCTCTCTGCCGCTGTCTCGTCTCTTCTTCTGTGTTTCTCTCCCTGTATTGCTCACTCGTCTCTTTCGCCCCCTAGTGGCGGCGGTTCAAATAGAATCGCCCCGTCAAAATTGAAATCCCCTATTAATGTATTGATTATAGGTCCGGGTCTGTATAGGTCGGCGTCTGGGTCCGGATCCGGACCGCCTGTTGCCTACCGCTGACTATACAATTTAACTCAAATATTGCAAATTCCTCATTTATTTAAATAATCAAACGCATGTCACTGCATTTGCCTTTACTTCTTAAGCCCAAAGCCTGTTTTTCAGGTTTCAGGCTCGAAAATGACATTCCCAGAACAAATGACCATATCTTCCCTTCTAAAAGGGTTAAATTAATAATCTTTTTTCTCAAAGTAATGATAAACCTGTGAGTTGGATGTAGAAAAGTCAGAATCAATATAGATGTTTTTTATTTTAAAGAAAATTCTGATTGAACATGGTAAAAAACTGTAAATTATGGTGTCCGTCCCAAAAATATGTTGTACTTATAGTGAAAACTAACCTGGGATGATGGGTTAGTAGACTAAAAACTTTAGGAATCCAAAGTACAACATATAATAAGTACCCTGTATCAAGATTGATGCAAAACAAGTGATATTTGACCTTTTTAGACAGATTTAGCACAAAAAACCTCTTCTGGGGCCATTTGGGTGGATTTTCCATATCTCTGGCCCCCCTTGTCGATTTTGACATGTGACATCTCTTCCTGACCGTTAGAGCCAATAGAATCGAAGGGAAATCGTCCCGCACACACTCATGTTAAAAAAAAAGGTGCCGTCTCTGCGCGCTAGCTTGCAGCAGAGGGGAGAAATATTGCTGCTCTGATATCAAGCAACGGAAAAGCGGTTTTATTTCTTATGGATTATCAGAACATTTCAAAGGGGACGCAGTCACATTGGATATTAACCTATGGATTAACTACAGCATCGTTTTAATGCCATTGAAGACCAGTTTAGACCAGACAAAGACGAAGGTAAGCCATGTTAGCGTTGTGGGCTACCTAGCGCCACTTGTTTTGATGTACGTTTTTGTTGATAACGTCGCGAGTTTGTATCTTTCAGTGTTGAGGCACCGTTACATTCTGTGTCTCCTTGCGATCATAAACGATGTGTTGGATGTGCACCTAGGATAAGTAATAAGGGAGCTAGGAGTGATTATCGGTGCAGTAATAGGTTAGCATTTTTCGCTCAGGAGTCATTTAGATGCTTCTTACGAGACTTGTGTTTTGTTATGGTAAAAATGGTTTGTATCGTCAGTTAGCTGAGATTATTCCCGTTAATCTGGTATAACACATTGTCATAGGTTCTTAAATATTAAGATCCCCTGAGACACAGTGTCGTAAAAAATAAATAAAAAGTACCCGCCGGAGGGGACCTTGGGGCTTAACAGGTTAAAGGAATGTGCCATATTTGTAGCTAGGTGAAAACAGGTTTCTCCACTTATGAATGTACCTTCACTTCAGTTTTCACTAGACTCACCTTTCTCAATCTCCACAGGGAACACATCCATCTTCTCCACTCTCTTCTCCAGCTCGTACTCCGCAGACGCTGCGACTGGATCCACATCATCGTTCCGCCGGTCATAATCCTCGTTGGAAAAGGTACTGAAGACCTGTTAAGGTGAAAACATCGAGTGTATAGCTTAAGTATAGCACTTTTTACATCCTTATCAAGTAGTTCATCGTCGTCGCAGGCATCACCTCAATCAGGAATTTCTAATAAAGGCTCAGGTGTCTGATGTACAAAACTATTCATACTGATCATATCTGACTAAAGGGCCATTCTCTCTCCCAAGGAGCTTACTGAACATGTTATTTATTAAATGTTTATTATATGTTTCTGCTTGATTTATGTTGCTTACTTTATGTGGCTTCAATGACTCTTGTATTGGCTTGTAGTGCTAATTCAGGCGAGATTCCCCCTTTAAGCCAGCGTTGTTTTTGTTTTTAATCTAACCTGCACAACTCATTATTTTCATCAGTTTTTGTGTGTCTGCTATTTTGTTACATTTTTCAACATACACAATCCAAAAGCACATTTCTTTCTCTTTTGAGTTCTTAATTATCTTGGCAGGCTGAACAAGGACACATTCTTTTCATTTGAGAGAAATTGCGTTGGGGCGGGAGAACTACACTCATACTTTGGACCCTCACTAGGAAAATGAGAGTGCCAACGCAGTACGCAGGCACAGTTCAGCAGCAAGACAGCAAGACAGCAGAGCATATGAGTCATGATTTGAACCACTGGTATTGAAATTCACTCAGTTTCTATTGATATATCAATAATGTCTGCCAGAGATTATGAAGCTTAATGGTCTAACTCAACTGTACACACTGCACTGTCAACACTTGTTTGCAACCCTTTGTTTGCATCATTTAGGGAAATACGTATCGAGCAGACGTAACTAAAGTGTCAACAAGACCAAAGCAGAAGATACATTCCCAAGACTTTCTCTTGTGGACCATTATCAAAGTTTTAAGTTGTAAACTCTGCAGGCAGGCCTTGTAAAGCAGAGGATGTGTCCCAGAGCCCGATTTCTGGTTGGAATCATAAGGCTCACAGTACAGCAGAACATGAGCAGCGCGGAAAGTAGGGCACAGCTGGGGAGAGCCGAGCAGTGGATGCAGCAAAGATCAATGTTCTGAGGCGACAAATGCTGTCAGTAGCACAGTCAAAAAGTATAATAAATAATAATAAATATAAATATAATAAAGAGAAATTCTAAGAAAAAGGGAAACTCCTGACGTTCAGTCAACAAAACACAGTATTCAACACTAACCTTAAGGGTTATTGCCCATGTGGTTACATCTTAAATGCCACTGACTCTTCCAAACAGAAATGAACAACAATCCTGGCCTAGCTAAAGTAAGCACTGCAATATTCAGCATGAAGCACACTGTCACTGGGGAAGGTTACTCAGTGAAACACCTGTACACACTCAACTGTCCACTCACTAAAACCAGCCAACTTCACATTGAAGAAGTCAACCACAGGAAATGTGTGTCCTAAATGTGGGATAAAAACTAGTTGCAAATGTCTGTCTCTTAGTTGTTGTAGCTGTAGTTAGGATCTTGAACATTAGACCTAAAGGAAGCCCTACCACAACAAAGAGATTTGAACCAGAGAGACATCAATTATGGAAAACTAGTTTATAGATTTGATGAAAAAAAGTAGATTAAAGTTTGGTAGACTCCATCCGGGGCTAATGCCTGATTATGCGGATGAACCCAACAGTGGGTCTGTAAAATAGTCTTAATCTGGGTGGAGTCGTGATCAGTATGGTGGCGGTGGCATAATGCTGGCATCAGTGCACAGGTCCCACTGACGTTGGTTACTAACAGACCTAGAGCCACTGAGTATGAGTTGGGAGTTGTAGTTGTTGTAGAAAGGAAAGAAGGATCCACAGTTAATCTTCCTATTCAATATGGGAGCGTCATTCAATTAGCTATTTTTTTAGTATTTACGGATGTTTAGTTTTGCCAAACACCAAAACACACAGATATGGCCAACTCACAATTATTGAGCCGTCAGTTGCCGAGTTGTGGTCCAGTGTGTAACCTTGTGTACCTGAGAGACAATGAACCCTGTGACAATTGTTGAAGTTGTGCTCCTTCAATGCACCCATGTTGTGCTTAACAAAACAGAAAACAATCGAACAACATGATGTGACAATTTCCTATATGTCTTTATGATTGATGAATACATTTGACATGCGCATTTATGATGTAATCAATACACATTTCCATTCCAGGCAACATAGTCTGAGGTCTCCATCCTGAAGCCGGCCAAGACTTGAGGAACAAACCACCAACAATCTCCTTTTCACTCTGTCTTTCTGTCGCCTCCTCACTATGTAGCCTTTGGACTTCAGCCCAAAACGGCACACATAGTTCTCTTGTTCAATTTGTTTAAGTTAATTACTACAACCGCATCTATTCTTCAATATACTGCTAATTCAATTCAAACACATGTATTCAAGTTGTATTTTCCTATCAGCAAACAAGATATAGATGTACTGTTTGCTACACAGGGTCTTCTTTCATGTAGCATCCCAAACCAAAGAAGATTAGAAACGTAAGGATTATGCACGCTACTGCAGCTCTGTGGTGGTGCACGCAGGAATTCTATTCATGGGGCCTCGACCCTCCATCTTCCCAACAGAATCTTCCATCTCAATCCTCCTACTTTCTTTTATATTATTTCCATAGGTGTAGGCGAGGACACCACCCATGATAGCAATAACACTATTTTTAAATAACCAATAATTGACTCAAGCCATTGTTGCCTCGCCTGCATCCGGAAACTTTTGTTGCATGTCTCTGAAGAACAAGCTTCAATGCGCTCCTATAAATAGAACATACAAAGCGCATCAACTTCTAATTTAGACAGTTCAAAATGGATTCACAGAACTAGAGCAGACAGAAATTCCATTACAGGATGAACAATGCCTTTTAGTTTAGACTTTGGAGACTTTAGTAATTAAGGGTTGAAATGTAGGCTAATAGAATATACGGAGCTGAGACAGTTCAGGTTGGCTTCTCCACTCAACCTCCCCCGTCCTTAAAGTCTGACTTTCCTGTTGCCATGGACTCCCAGGCCTATTTCAAACAATGTTCTGTTCTTTCCTGAATGATAATCACTCAACCAATCGGTTTTATCTGCAAGAAAGACATAAATCAATGTCTTTATTGGCGCCTCCCTAAAAAATAAGCCTTACATACAAAACACCCACATCACTGTCTTGTCGCCAGTTATCAGACTAAACAGACATTTTCCATTATTGTTGAGCGCATGCCCGGTCCACCATCCTCTGTCTATAACCAAAACACTTAACTGTTGATCAGGCAAACTGACTCCAACCAGAATGAAAGACCAAAGAAGAAATAACAAGTCGTCAAGTTTACACAGAATAAGGTATATGACATGTCCTTTTAATGCCAGTCCCTCCAACTAAAGTATCACTGCGGTCACTGAGGTTGTGATGTGGGTCAACCGACTGCTATGCCATCTTCATATTTCCATTCCCTCCCAGCAGTATGTGTGGGCTTTCTGTCCAGTTTCAACAACTGCAGTGGTTGGTACTTCGACGTGTGCTCACATGCCCACACCCAAATTGAAACCCTTCCCATCTTTTCCCTCCCCACAACTGAATACCAATGTGGGAAATGAGTCAGCAGCTGCGAGGAAAAGCTAACCAGAGAAATCTCTCCCCAGTGCAAAACCAGGGCTGACCACCGGATTGGGGAGTTTGAATGGAAGCCGGCCTACAAAAAGACAAACAATCTAAACAGGCTGTGAGGGCGAGCTGGGGCAGGGGGTGGCGGGCGGCCTAGCGGAGATAAAGAGTCATTAGGATAGAAGGCATGGGGCCATGTTTTTAGATCCCGTGTAAACATCACAGAAAAAATAACAATATATATCCATAAGTAAGCATTACATTGCCATTATTAACAGTTCACAATGATTGACGGTAACTGAAACAACAATGTTTATGTTTGAAGCTTTAATGCATGACCTGCAGCTGGAAGGTATGGAGTTGGAGAAGAGCACCGTGACATAATGGAATCACATTTACAAGGAAGTGCAAACATAAACAGGTTGAACAGGTTTGTGTATACATGGCCCACAAAGGCTACTTTTGTCCTGCAATGATTGCTGAAACTTGAACACTGAAATTGCTGCAAACTCCGAGTGTAAACACACAGCATCTGCTAATGTGTTGGTCTCTAATCACATAATGAAAGCGTTTAAGGCCATCAAATCAGCCAAGACTCATCCTATCATGCCAAGTTGGTTAATGAGCAGCATTGAGGCGACTGCATTAGTATTCTGCCCCATTTTGTCGGAGAGTCACTAACTTGCCCAGGTGGCTGGAAGGACCTCAGATCTCACAAGAGGAGGGCCTGTCTGCTGGTGGGATGAGGGTGGAGTCTTGTCAGACACATTCCTGTGGCCAGCAGAAGACCCTTCTGAGATAGGAAATGGAAAGCATAACACTGGGATGGGTTGACTATAGAGGCCAGAGTCCAAATGTGTGGAGTACACACCCTTTGCTTTTGACTTATCACATGAAACACAGATAAAGGAGCAGATGATTCTGTCCTGCTGTAATTCAATCTTAACTTTCCAGCATATGTTAAGAATAGGGCTTGGGGAAAGGATTTGTTGAGTTTGAATCAGAATGGTGATTCTTACATTGAACAATATTAGAGTTCTCATTCATAACACTCCGTTCGATGTCTCACTATGGGATGCGCCTCATCGCGGAGCAAACAGAAGCATCAATCTCATTACGCCAATCCTGATTGGCTGGTGATCTTGACGTCAGCGTCAGGGAATTCACCCCCTATAAGTAGCTTGCGCCACGACGCATGCGCCATTCAAACACCTCTTCTCGCTTCAGAGCACATCTCTATAGTAGCCGGACAAGCTTAACAGTCCACAGACTGAACCCAAATATAACCATTTCGGTCAACGGGCGCTCGCCGGCTACTCCTTCTGCTTCGCAAGAAGACGGTAATACTAACGCCAGTTAGTATTAAAATCGACCTCGCCGTTCTTTCCCCGGAAAGTAAGGTAAGGTTTTGATTTTTCTCAAGCTAGCTACGCACC